TCATCAATATCAAGTGGTTTTGCTAATTGTACTTGTTTACAGGGGACGGCCCTCTTTCATACACCGAGCTGCCCTTGTACCCGACATACTTGAAGATCTTGATCACCACTGTCGTAGTGATATCCGTACTTGTGTCCAATGTGATTCATTGTACTTTCAACACACTGTTGTTATCCACAAGTATTCATTTGCAGGGGACCACTGTATTCACTACGACCTCCTAGAAGATTTTGTAGAAGAGGTATTTGTACCAGTACTATATCCACCTTTCACCAATCTCAGGTGGTCTGATGTCTGGATTTGTTTATAGAGGATGGGTCTTTTACTATCTAGTAGTAGTGTTGCCTTCTAAATCAACAGGCATAGTTGATAATGTTGTTGTAGTCTCTTTACATATATTTGTAGGATGGTCATCATATCTGTGTCTTGATATACCAGGAGGATTGAAATACTTTCCTTAGAGTTAAGTCCTTGTTGATTGTAATTTGGAGATATTGATTATATGCAGGTTGCATCAGCCGTCATTATTCGTAGGTGTTGCATTGTATTCTTCACCCACCAACTTCTTTTGTTTGCAGAAAGCTTGATGTATTTGAAATCAAATTACGGTTGAATTTCGTACAAAAGACCTCTTGCTACGAGTCACTTGTTTACATGTGAATAACTTCTTTGGAATATTGTCCACCACAACTCTTTCGTTTGTTTATTGATGATCAACATTTGATCCGAATTAGAATTTATTGATTCTTATTGAGATTAGATCCAATTTTGATCTGCAAGTTCAAATTTGATTTTTTGCTAGTTCCATCCGTTCAAATAGTCCCCTTCTGACTTGTTGAATTGATGTATGGTTCAGGCTCCTGATGAACCTCTTCTATTTGAGTGCCCTGCAGTTCTTTGAGTTCAATTGCATGTTCACTTTTTGTTTAAAGTCTTATGGGGTTTTTTTTGCAAGTTCAACTACATCTGAAAGTTCTCCACCATGAGTCCCCTGTTTGTTCTTGCATGTTCAAATTCATATACGTATTGTTTAAATTTGACTCCAGTTTGATTTTATTTCATTTGATTTTGACCCTTAGAAATCATTTAGAATTTTGTTCAGATTTAGGTCCACAAGTTCACTGTTATTCGTATGAGTCTTCTGCTCATTTAATTCAAGTTATGTGCGCTTCTGTTCAAGTACAGGTCCTCTATTGTCCTTCGTATTGCTGCTCAAATGATGTCTTTATATTGTTCAAGCTTTGTGTACTTCTGTGAAAATTTCGGCAGCAGGGCCTTCCCACTACGCTACTAGAGCGTGTATGGTAGGTGTCCTTAGACACCGCGGCCGTAGTAATTTTCATCCCACCACGCTACAAGAGCGTGTAGCCTTCAACAGTACCCGTATGAGAACACCAGTAGCTCTCCCCACCACGCTACAAAAGCGTGTATAGGGCTCACCCACCTCGCCGTATGCTTCGCACCGGGCTCCTATAAATCATAATGAATTAAAATTAATACTAATTAAAAAATTATAATTAATTAGATTAATTATAATAATTTAATTAAAATTAATTAATAATTAATTACAATAATTATAATTAATTAGAATTATTTAAAATAACTATAATTAAATATTTATAATAATTTTTTTTTAAATCCCTTCGTCTGGCGGAATTACGGGATTTGGCCGGAGTAGCGTGCAAAAGGGAGAAGGTTACCCTCACAGCCGTCAGAGCTCCTGTTATTGCTCCGATCAAACAAGAAGGGAACGTCGACGAAGGAGCGACGTCGAACAGCCACGGAGAGGCCGGAGCGGCGGCGCCAAAGGGAGAAAGTTAACTTCACAGAGAGCGGGCTCCCCTTACGACCTCCGATCAAAATGTCTAACTTCCGATTCGACCCAAAGGGAACGTCGTCGAAGGAGCTTCGTCGAACAGCCACTAAGGAGTCGGGGAAGAAGCGGAAGGGAGAAAGTTTCCTTCACACCGAGCGGGCACCCGTTGTTGTTCCGATCAAACTATAGTAACTTCCGGTCCAATGGGAATGTCGCCAAAGGAGCAGAGTCGAACAACCAAGAAAGAGCCGAAGAAGCAAAGGGAGAAAGTTGTTCTCACTGCGAGCGTGCTCCCACGCCTGCTTCCGATCAAAATGTTGTAACTCCGATCCGATCGTAAGGGAAAGTCGTCGAAGGAGCAGTCGAACAGCACGGAGGAGCAGAAGAAGCGATGAAGAGGAGAAAGAGCAAGATTGAGAGCGTCGGGAGAGAGATCAGAGTGGGAGAGAGGTTTCTGCCTCTTTTTCTTTTCATTTTAACGACACAGGGGTCGTTCGAGGTCGTGGGAGAAATGACGACAACGTGCGAGCGACGTGCAATTACAGTGGGTAGGTGAGATTTGAAATTTTTTTTTTGTTTTGTTTTAGATACGGGTCAACAGGTACATGAATTCTTTTTCTCTATTATGTCATGTTAAGGGTCAAATTCTCATTTAAATTTAATAAAGAAAGATCATTTCTAATATTTTGTAACCAATTTTTTTAGTTCTACCTCTACCTTTCTTAATATAAGTCAAATCTAATACATCTTTCTTAACCGGGTCATCAAAAGTCCGCCATTTTATGTGACCAAACCATATAAGGTGACTCTCTCTAATTTTATATTCCATTAGAGCTACTCCAACCTTCTCACGTATATGCTCATTTCACATCCTATCTTCAAGAGTAAAGCCACATATTCACCAGAGCATCATCATCACTGCAACACTTAACTTAATATTATGCTTCTCTTTTAATGGCCAACATTCTACATCATAAAACATTGCAGGTTTCACTACCATTTTATAAATTTTTTCTCTAAATTTGAGAGGGACTTTTCTATCACATAACAAGCCAGATGTATTCCTCCACTTCAACTATCCAACTTAAATTCTAATAATAATATCCCCATCTAAAATTACTTAAAAAGAAATTTTAAAAGAATCCTTAAGGAAAAATATTTTTGTTTTGTAGAAAATTTTATGAAAAATTATTTTTGAAATATTTTCATAGGTGCAATTACAATAATCTTTGCAACCACATTTCTCAAAAATATAGAAAGTGAAGAAAATAAAAATATTGAAAAGTAAAAGAAATACAAATCAAAATTTTTATAATGGTTCGATCAAACTTTACCTATATCCATTCCCCAAATTCCTCTTACTTGGGAATTCTACTAACAAACACTCATTTTACCCTCAACAAGATAGAAAAGTCCATTGTTCCCAGGTGGAGAATGACCTTTAAAAGCTCTTCCTTCTGAAAAGCCTAGACTTCCTCCTACTTCCAAGCACAGTGGAGATGCCTCTTTCCTACTACCTCCTGCACAACAAAGATGTCTTCATCTTCCTTTTGCTCCTAGCAATAGCAGGATTGAGAGCTTCGGCTACAGGCGGGATCGACTATAGATGGAGGATCTTGCGACTACACGTAAGGATCAAGTGAATCATTTGTAGTCTTTGTGGATTAGTTGAATGGAGACGAGGTATCGTGAGGAAGAGGTGTGCGGCTTCAACAAACGGAAGCGGCTGGAGGAGTTCGGTCCTAGATTGGTAAGTGGAAGGGCATCAGGTAGGGAAATCAGGAGCAAAGGAGGACTTGAGCACGTGGAAGACCGAAGAACCACAAATGAGAGCTTCACTATCATTTTAACGATGCGAGAGAAGGCTCGATCGAGGCGAAGCATGCGTGAGAAGACATTTTTGACACCGTTCTAGAGGTATGGGCAACGTATCTGCAAGATTTGACTGTAGCAGACGATGGGTATGGCTCCTATAGGTATGGATATTATATTTTATTTATTTATTTATTTATTTATTTTGAACCTGCTATGGAGGTCAACATATATACTTTACATGATAGGGTTGTGTTTATTTCAAATATCATATGAGCTTGTATAATTTGGCAACAAACAATTCTATGCCTCTATTATCTTGCATAAGGACCGCTATTTTATAAATTATAAATCAGTTGATGTAATAACCTATAAACATTGATTCTCATTTCCATTTTTACTGCTTCAAAAGTACTTAAACTTCAAATGGAATAATGAAAAACAACAACAACACAAGCATTTATTCCACTACATGGAGTCAACTACATGAATCATTTTCTCCATTGTGTCCTATTAAGAGTCAAATTCTTATTTAAATTTAATTAAAAATTTTAATTTCTAATATTTCTCAACCAAATCTTTTTAGGTCTTCTTCTACCTTTATTAAAATAGGCTAAATCTGATACATTTACTCTCCTAACCGGGCATCAAAAGACTAACATTTTTTTTTACCAAACAATCTATGACAACTCTATCTAATCATATCTGCAACTTGAGCTACTCCAACCTTTTCAATTATATACTCATTTTGTATTTTGCCTAATGAACAAACATTAAAATTATTTCTAACCCAAAGGCAAGTCGCACCTTAATGCATGAAAGTAAAATGGAGATAGATGAGTCAATGTGCTAAGAAATTTACTTGCGAACTAAATTGCTGGGGTAAGTTTAGTTCATAACCAAACTAAAAAGCAAACCAACTCCCAATTCCAAAAAGTTGGAACGGGATTGGAATGGAAAGACTGAGTTCTGAAATTCAGGTCAGGTTGATTTATGCGTTGATATATTTCTACTAAAAATTCATATCATGTGCATGTTGCTACAGAAACTAGTGCTTAAATTATAAATTAGTGCTTCAATATATACTCAAGTCCAGAGCTACAAGCATAAATCTGAAATCTTATAATATTGATAAAGCGGTAGCGTTTGGGTCAATTGGATGAACCATAATTAAGGAATTTGAAAAAAGAAAAAAAAAACAACCCAAAAGAAACTGTTTCAAAAAATAATATGTAACCCAATCTAACCTGAAGCACATATAAGATCGAACTGCCTTAGACACAAGTTAAAGATTGAATCAATTCTTATGGATCATAACTCTAACTGAGCTATATTAATCAAATTGAAGGAGAAAATCATAAAATCAGGGTACCGGTTCCACGGGATTCAATTCCAGAGCGAATATCTTCAACGGTCATAACACTATCTTCAAGCCCATTTTCTCTCACCTAAACATGTGAACAAGTAAAAAAATGACAAGTTGCAACTTGCAAGCCACTTAATCATCACATAGGACTCCACTTAAGATTCTTACTTACGAAGTTTATAATATAGTCAGCCCAATCTTGAACTTTGAGCCACAGTATAAGACATTTCTTGTGACTTTTGTCCATCCATTCTGCACGTCCTGCGAATCAAGAACAGAAAAGCAATTATTATACGTATGTGTTCATGGTTCAAGCTGAGAAATAAGATAAATAATTGAAAAATAAATTGACCCAAATGTGCAAAATAATAGAGGACCTTCAGAAACCAAGGCTGAAAGGAACACCTCTCTTGACTCATGGCTGAGAGATCCTGAAAACAAACAATTATATGTTCAGCGGAACTCTCAGTCTGAAAACCACCAACTCATCAAGCGCAAAACATGCATGTAAGAGTGGATCATTTATAGAAAACAAAATGGTCTACTAACGTAACTTGAAATTAAAATGATTTCATCAAACATTAAAAAAAAAAAAACTATAGGATGATGAGAGAATATAGCTGCTATAAATTCCGCAGCATTTTCCACCAATCTGTACCTGCTATATGCACCTTCTCTGTTATTTGTATACTGCTTTTGCATGGATTTCCTCTGCCCTACGTGCAGGTCGTTCAGTGTCACCACCCCTTAACAGGGTTTTCTTGTTTCACAGGATTGGTGCGGAAGCAAATCGCATGCTAGACTATTAAACATATAGTATGTATAAAGTCCCATATTTTATTTATGTGACTTCAAAGTTGGATTTTGGATAATATAAAGTTTGAATTTAATGGATATCTGAAATTAAATTGAGATGACTGTGTGCCTACTACATCTACTAATCTAAAGATGATGACTCTATAAATAGATGATATAAGTATGCAAGATGGATTTATTGTCCCTTTAAGCAAAGTACAAATAGAACTGACCACTTAATTCAATGAAATGTCATCTCCTTACACCACAGAGTGAGATTATTATTATTATTATTTTTTTACTTGATGATTTCTTTCTTGTGTTTGCATATCTTGTTATTGCTAGTTACTGTTCCTTATTTTCTTCAAATTTCATAATGAATAAATTGCAATTATTTGCTGATTGTGTAATTAAATTTTCTCAACAATTTCTCTGATTTATTTCATCTTTCAATTATAAATTGCATATTTATTGATTCGCATCAAAAGAAAGAAACTTTTGTGTATTTATCTTTGATTTATAAATCCTACCTTCCCTTGCATCATCTATACATGATGAACCATTCTAGTAGCATTGAGAAACTCTAATCTTAAACCTCCTTAATGAAAATTGGGTATAAATGCATCATCATGTCAACTAAGTAGAGGACATATTACTTAGATTAATAAAATTAAAAAAAAAAGATATAATTTAAATGAGTTCTTATAAGCTACGGTTTTATACTTTACTAGCACGAAGTTTAAAATTATATTCTTATATTCGATGGAAGCTATGATATAGAATAATTATAGATTGGACCACTAGTTTAGAATCTCTCTTTCAAAAATACAATATTAATTCCCAAATTGTTTATGTGCCAAATCAAAATTAGTAGGATATGCTTAATCATTTTGGTGAAATGTTATTGCAAGGTCATCTAGGGCTGATGTGAAACATAGATTTCAAAGAGTAATAATAATCATTTGGCAAGTATAGTGATCAACTACATGATAATTTAATAATTATGCAACAACAACATCAAGCCTTTATTCCACTACGCAGGGCTGGCTATTCATTATGTCCTATTAAGAGTGAAATTCTCATTCAAATTAAATTAAAAAAGGTCATTCCTAATAATTACTAACCAAGTCTTTTTAGGTTTACCTCTATGGCTCTATCTTTCTTAACATAGATCATATCAAATACATTAACTCTCCTAACAAGAGCATTGGAAGGCCTACGTTTTATATAACCAAATCATTTAAGACGACTCTTTCTAATCTTATCTGCCACTAGAGCTACTCCAACCTTTTCATGTATATACTTATTTCACATTCTGTCTCTAAGAGTAAGCCACTCATCCATCAAATTTATAATTTAAGAATTATAAATAAGATAAATATGATGTGTTTGAATGCTATTCAAGATTTGCAAGTCTTGTAATTAAATATTGTGTGCCTTCAAATTATTTTGTTAATATTATTTGTTTGTCTTAGATGAGAAATTAGAGATGAACTAGGCTAAAATATACTAAGAGACTGGTTGGATGCGAGATTTATGAAGGATTTGAGTAGGATTTATGCTAAATCCTGCCAAACTGGATTTAAACAGAAAATAAAACATTAGGATCTACCATAAATTTCTGATTTATCAAATCCTCCATTTTGGTAAATTTAATTTCTTACCGCACGTGCGGAAAGGAAGAAACACTCGTGTCCAGTCTTCGAGCAGTAGGTTACTCCATACTTAACACTGCAGTTTCTCATTTCTCCATCACATTCTATCCCGAGCTCTCCATCCCTCCCGGTCATGCATTGCATTCTATTAAATGCAAGTTAATCTTCTCTAGCTCTCACCTCATCTTCCTGTGCTTTCCTATGAATTCTCATGAAGAAGTTCATCTTCCAAACCTCACCTCTTCTTCTGGCATCTTCCTATGAATTCTCGGTAAGTCCAGCACTAAACTTTGAAGCTTGCAGATCTTGTGCAATGCGATAATTAGAAGAGCTCAGCTGCCCCGGCGCTCAATGCCTAGTGGGACAAAAAAAAATCTCCAAGTTAAGTCAGTAAGTTATTTGAGATTTATTGCAATTTATCATCTTCGCTTTTAAATGGCTTTGAAGGCAATAGATAATTAGTTAATGTCATGTAGCAAGTTTTTTTGGGAAAGAAATTAAGTACATTTATGCAAATGCACATAATTTCTTTCCTTTTTTTTCATTAATGCAAGTTCTGCAACATTTCCAAATCAATTACATGAAAAATTATACCAAGATTTTTCTTGCTTGCTGTTTAAGTAATAATAATGCATTTTGTTTGGATGGAGTGTGATCATAGAATTTTTTGGGGAAGGAGTTTTATTCCCATTTATATAGCAATTTTCTTTCCTCCTTGGAAGTTTATGTTGCAGGCCGAAATTCAGTTTACTGATGAACATGATAGTGAATAAATTCTTTACTCCTAGCCAAGATTGTTCTGGTGGCCGTTGTTTTTTTATTACATAGCAGTTTTCACATTACCTTAATTTCTTATTTGTTTTAATGGGCAAGGCTGAGAATGTTATGACTATAAATTTACTAAATTTATAGTCATTAGGTGTAACAGTTATAAGTTTATTTATTTAAAAAAAATAATAATTTAATAAGTTGGATTGAGATAAATTTGATTTCTTTAATCCATATAAGTGATAGCATTATTCAACCAAGTGCAGTCTTGTAGTGCTATTTTAATTCAAAATTAAATTCGTACTTGTTTCTACTTATATATGGCAAAATTCCGCTGAAAGCATCATACCATAGTTTTAATATTAGGGGGAAAGGCGCATGTGAACATCAGAGGAAATCTGAAGCACTAAATAGTCCTCTATGCGCAGAAATACCTTCATTAAACACAGCCAAACAATGAAAGAGTGGTGAAAAATAACTTTTGACAATTGTTCCACAACGTATTTGCAACCCCATATAGGAAGGAATGATAGCGATTGCTTGTAGTCCTAGTCCAGATTGACTTCCTCCAGAATCTTTCTAAGAAAGAAGAGCGGCCTTTTTTCAAGCCTCTCGCATTTGACAGTTTAAACAACTTGAATGATAAAGAGTCATAACATAGAAAAACTGAGAATAGCAATGGTATAATTTCATTACACGTGTAATATTCAATATGAAAATTCTTTCACCTAAATTAATTTCAATATAAATAAGCCTTCATTAATTATGCAGTGATGTACAACATGAAAACTCAAGCAATAACCCACATCTAGAGGAAGATATGTCAATCGATATAAATTTGTGGGAAGCTCAGGTAAGACTTTGTTTTATTAAGTCAAAATGAAATTCATTTTCATAGGATGTTTATTGATGCAATGAAACACTTGCAGGCCTTGAATCAATAATGTCGATCAACTTGACTGCAAGCTACTGTTCAGCATTGTTGATTGTTGCATATGAGGGATTTGCTTGGTTTTCTGAATCTAGATACTTTGGTTGGGGATATTTTTATTTATTTTTTTTTTTTTTTACTTTGGTTGGGGATATGATTGTTTTATTTGATGTCGATGTGCTTATTTATGTTATGTATGGTGGGGGAGGGGTGTTGATGATATAATTTTTTGATTTACTCTTCTAGTTGTGTTGTAGAGATTGATAAACCATTATGCAACTTAGAATTCATGTTTGAACATGACTACGTTTGTTTTGTTTTGTTAAAGTGTACCGTACAGTTGATTCTTATCATGCAGCATATCAGATGGATGCCATTTTAAAGTTTCTTTAAACTTTGATTGTGTACTCCACTAAAGATTATGGCTTTTCTTGCAGCTAGCAAATAGGAAAATGTATTTAGAAAAGCAATCTTTGTAAATTAGTTTGTATTAAGGACTCTTCTTATTAGCCTTCTTTAATAGCTAGAATGTAAAAGAAGATTTTTTATGCACATGTTGTATTTATTTTTCTTTTAAAATTGTGGTAATGCACTTTGTCAAGAGAATCAATCGGTTAACCTCAAAATTTTACTCACCATAGAAGCTAATGAAGTTTGCCACACAACTGATATTTCAAATAATCACCTTAAATCCTAGATTATGTTGCCAAAATGTTTCACAAGAATTAACAGTTATCTTGCCAAACTATTTTCAAGATTTAACTTAGTAAAGTTTACTAAATTCAAATTTACAAGATTTACAAAATCCTACTAAAGTTAAATCCTTCTTATTGTCAAAGGTCCCAAAAACATTACATAAAACTTCATACATAACTTTAGACAGAGGAAGCATATAATTACTCTCCTATTAAGATTGTTGCACTTATGCTTCTTGCCAAGAAAAATAATGAAAAAGCTTATCAAAACCTATTGAAAATAAACGAATACAAGAATCATGTCCGGTTGAATCAAAATTAATTAAAGAGACTTTAAATTATGAATATTCAATTGAAGATGTTTTAGATGCAAAAAAAATATTAGCTGTTAGATTATAAGTACATCCGATGCTATTGAATATGAATTTGCATTTATAATAGATTGTGTTTATTAACTTGAATATATATTTGATCAAGCATTATAATTAGAATTTTAAAGAAAATTTAAGCATGAGATCATATTTGAACCTAAATATACGATGGAACCAATTTAAGTACATCCAATGCTATTTAGCATTAATAAATAT